CTCCCTTGGATGTGCCTCTGTTAGATAAACCCCTGTCTGTACCTCTTTGTGTAACCAAATTTAACAACCAAAAGCTGTTCATAGGCTAGGGAAAGGGCAGACTGTAGCCCTGGGCAGGGCCCACCCCACAAATGGAAGGAGAGGCTGGCCCGGGTCTGCGAGCTCCGAAGGCAGAGAGGAGAGCCGGCCTGGTGCCTCCTTTGCCCCCACAGCATCCCTGTCAGACGTGTAGCATCCACATGACTCCGGTTTACAATGAGGAAGCTGAGGCTGAGTGAGACCCTGGCCTCGGTAGCCACCATTTGTTGAGGGCCGTCCACAGGTAAATCTTAAACGTTATTTCATGGAATTCTCATAAAGCAAAGTAAGGAAGAGATACTGTCCTGTTTTAAAGATGAGGAAGTATAAGCATAGGAGAGCCAGGGAGTTGGCCAAAGCCAGAACCAGTACTGGCTGCCCTCAACCCTAAACACGGTCCCCGGCTCCCACCGTGTGCCCACCCCACAGGCAGTGCAAACCCAGCAAGGCCCTGGCAGAATCTCACATTGATAAGCACATTCACCTAGTCATTCCATGTCCCCTTGACATCATTCCCTCCAAAGGAGAAAGACAAAGACTTTGAAAGAGAAGACTCCTGGAGAGAGCCGAGAGAGGAGGCGTCCAGGGAGGGGTGGCCAGGTCGGCCAGGTCTGAGGCCACTTGGCTAGCCGAACGCTGGGTCTGTGGCTCGGAGACAGGTCACTTCTGACAAAAGGATGGAGTTGGGACCCCCGCTGTGCTAGGCTGAGTGAGATCTGGGGGAAGCCGCCTTGACGTTGCCATGGAAACCAGCCCCTTTCCCTGTGTTGCTCGCTGCTGCTGCTCGCAGAGCTGGTTTTTAAGGAGATGGTATTGTGTGCTTCTTGGGAATAGGATCAAGGCTATTTCTTCTTCCACAGGACTCCGCAGTTGAATAGAGCGTGCCGTGAGGTGGAGGAGAGATAAATCTATCCACTGGAAGATCCAACGGGTGGTTTTCCAATTTTTCAGAAAAAGAAAAAATATATATTTATGTCTCCCTGCCCATCTCCTGACCTGATGGACACCAGGGCTTGCCCAGGAACTGTCTCTGCTTCTCCAACACCTGGCCACTGTCTGTCCATTCGCCTCCTGCCCTTCTCCCCAGCCTGGGCCGTGACCCGAGGGGAGCAGGGCAGCCTGTGGACACACGCGTTTGATCTCTGCATCCAGCGCTGGCTCAGGGAGAGGGCTCTGTTCCTTGAGGACACTTCCATCACCTGGGAGGGTGGCCCGTGCAGCACGCCTCCCCTGAGCTCCTCCTGTCACCAGCAACCTGTCCTGCAGGGCCCATTGAAGACCAGGTTTTCTAAGACCTCCTGGTGACAGCCACGCTGGCTCACCCTCTGGTCACAAAGCTTCTAGAACAATCGGGCCCCCTCCCCATCACCTTTGCTACCCAACCTTGGTCCCATCTTACTGGGAGCCTCTCAAAAGAGGTTCCCTTTGTGGATAAACGGATTTAAACGTGTGCAAAAGCCATGGTGGGGGGGTGCTGTCAATATGGTCATTGCCTGGCTCCCTCTGGAGCGTGACCCCCAAAAGGGCTCTGTGGGACCCCACTCTCCAAACTCAGAGGAGCTTTTTCCAGATCCAACCTCTTGTGGTTAAACCTTTGTGACCAACCTGCCTCTCCAGGGATGTCCAGGTCGGGAGAGAGGCGTCCTCTTTGGTTCTAACTCCCCAGGAGCAGCACCCGCCGGGGTCGGTCCTCAGAGAGAAGGGCTGCCGTCATGGCCGACCCTTCTAGCACCACTGTTTCCGGTGGGTCCCCACAGCAGACTCGTCACACAGAATAGATAGCTCCGGTTTGTTTTTTTGAGTAATGGAGTGGCAAATCTATTCATAACAGGATGTGGGAACATGTGTTCATTAAGTCCTCAGTTGACTTTGTGTAATTAAAAAATACACTGGGTGTTCACGGGCTGGCCATGTGGGTCAGCCGCCTCCTGGGTGGAGGCCAGCCCTGCCCCAGGCCTCTCCAGCACGTGTCCCCTGGAGGCAGGCTGGATGTGAAGGCTGCAGGTGGCATGGGAGGGGCTGTCTGACGCCTTGTTCTCACAGCCTGCACAGCGGGAAGGGCAGGAGCCCTGCTGTCCTCCTCCTCTCGCGCCCATCTGGCCTTTGGCCACAATCCCCAGCATGGCAACAGGTGGGAGCCTCCACTGCCAACTGTGGGCAGAGTCCACCCAGCTCTGCCTTAAGTGGCCTGCCATGGGCACAATTACCAACCGGAGGGCAAGACACAGAGACCCGTGGTCACTGTGACTGGCGGAGCTGTTAAGAGACTGGTGGCAAAACACCTGGGTTAGAGTCATAGCTCTGTCACTCACCAACCGGGTGGCCTTGGGCAAGCTGTTTCTCTGCTGTGCGCCTCCACATCTCCATCCTGAGATGGGGACAATTAGATGATACTGATGGCCATGGTGTTGGAGGCAGGGCACCTACCCCCTGGGACTGGCAGGAGGGTAATACGAATTAAGAGACACAGAGCACTAGCACCTGGCAGAGAGTGAGGGCATCTAGATGGGTGCTCTTCCCAGCATGGACCACCTATGCAGAGTCCTGCTAATGATAACTGCAACTTGACTTTCTAGGAATTAGCTATGACCTTGATAGTGTTGCTCAGGGTCCTTTACAGAAAGGAAGCAGTTCTGGGGGCAAAAGGGTCCCACAAACCTTGGTTTAAATCCCAATTGCTCTACAATGGCCCGAGGGTAGGCTCTTTGTCCCTCTGAGCCTCAATCTCTCCACCTCCTATCTAGTAGGGTCAATAACCCCTACCTCCAGGGTCGTACTAAGTCTCAAGCTAATTCTGAAGACGTCCACTGGATGCCCATTATCTCCCTCCTCAAGCTGTTGGCCAGCCACCAAGTGCGTTGTGTTAAAGCCATCATCAGACCCTACCTTTGCTTCATTTCCACATCCAAGTCTGGCTCCAGACCTCAGGGCAGTGACTACTTACTGCCGTTAGAATGTGTCACCCTAAAGACAGGTGCTGGAAACATGCTCCCCACACAGTGTCGGGTGGCGGGGCCTGAGGGGAGGTGTTTAGGTCTCGAGGCTCTAACCTCAGGGACAGAAGAACGCCCATTACAAGGGGCCTGAGTCCATGAGGGGCACCTCTTGCTCTCTGCCTCCCTCTCTTGGTTTTTCAGACATGGAATGATGCATCAAGAAGGCCCTGGCCAGGGACTGGAGCTTGATGTGGACATCCCAGTCTCCAGAACGGGGAGAAATGGGTTGCTCTTCTTGATAAGTTATACAGTCTACATTCTGCTATAGAAATACAAAACAGGCTGAGATGCCATGTGCCAGGCCGCGCTGACCAGCAGGGGCTGTGGAATGAACACGGGGCTACAGGACAGGTGGCCATGTCCATCTCCTGGGCCTTACCTAGGATCTCAGCGTCAGGTCAGACCCCACTGGCCTGAAGGTGGAGGTCCCCAGGGTCCCATTCCAGCCCCTGCTGCATAGGCCACTCTGCCCCCAGGGCTCACCCACCCCTCTGGGTCCCCCACCCGAAACATCTTCATCAATCTCACTAAGAAGAAGACCGAGGCTCTCAGACACATCTATCTTTATTTGTTTCCTGTCAGAAAATTTTGAGAATTACACCAAAAAATACTTCAGCCTCTGCTACCTACTGACAAAAATACACCACAAAATTATAAAGCGCTCAGCGGTTTTGCTAGGGACGATTTGTTATTCCGCTTCAGATGACAAATGAATTTACAGGTGACTCAGGTGATGGGAGGGTGGGGGAAGGAGGGAGAATAGATGAGAGCATTTGGCAGGAGAACTTGAGCTATAGTAGCCTTATTAGCCAGCTGTCGGGTACGATGATTTCAGCAACAGAGCAAGCCACAAAAATACCCTTTAAATGGCCTGTCACAGACTAATGGGGAAACAGTGACACATCTCAGACAGCCAACTCTCCAGCCTGCCCTGGGCCTGCTGGACACGGAGCCACAGCGCCATAGGATGAGCCTCCCGGAGCCTTTGTGAGGGGCCTGGGCAGGCCCAGGAGGTTCCACGGAGCAGGCCTGGGAGGTGCCAGATGTGGCCCTTCCTCGGGAGCTTCTAGGACTCGGTTGGCTGCCACCTGAGGTTCCTGGTTGTGACCCGGGTGTTGCGACTGTTAGCACTGAACCAACAACGGCTGAACACCTGGGGCCTGTGCTTCTAGTGGCCGAGGGCCAGTGCCTGGCTGGGCCTTTCTGCTGAGCCGCCTCCTTCTCTCCCTCTCTGCCCTGCCAGTCACAGGCGTGGGCAGCATCCAGCTGTGGAGCTAGAGAAACCTGAAAAAGGCAAAGAAAAACCTGCCCACGTCTGAGTGTCTGCTTCTGCAAGTCACAAGGCCACACTGGGCAAGCCCTCGGAGCCCAGCGCGGGGCGCCCAGCCCTGGCACCAACACCCACCCCCGGTTTGTGCTCATCTTGCAAAAGGCACCAGAGCTCAGCCGAGTTTGCTCTGGGTTGTGCGCATCCTGGGCTTAAAAACACCAAAACCAATCCTTCCTTCCAGCCGGGCCACTCCTAGCTCCCCGTGCTCCTGTCCCGCAGACCAGAGGCAAACCAGGCAGCCCCGTCTGCCACCCACTCGCACCAGGCCCGCACCGAGGCTGCAGGAGCCTCAGCTCCTCACGCCCTCCAGATGGAGCCTGCTCGCGCTTTCTGTTCCTTTTCTTTGTTTCTCTCCTTTTCTGTTTTTTTTTTAATTTTCCTAACAAAGAATAAGCAGTGGCTTTGAGAATATCTTACATGGGAACAATCAACACGAAACATGCCTTTGTACATGAGCCTGACTTGGGGACGAATCAACAATACCAAGGGACAAAAAGGAACATGGGTTCAGACAACTCCAGTGCACGATATTTTCGGAGACTGCCGCCCCGCCCCCCCCGCCCGCCCCACCCCCACATCCCAGGAGTACAGTGTTGTCTTGTAACTCGAGCTTGGCTGAGCCTGGGGGGTCCCCTGCCCACCGCCCCCCCCACTCCGGCTCCGGTAGGCCCCTAATGGCCCTGGGTCTTGGGCGGCTTGGGCTCATGAATGACAGCGGCCGCCGACAGCCAGGGCCCGATGGCCCGGGCAGTGCTCTGCTTGGCCACGCTGTAGTGGCTGATGACTGTGTAGAAGCGGCTTCTGGAGTTGGGGTCCTGGGACGAGTAGTAGGCATCCAGGGAGGCCGGGATGCAGCGCTTGTGCTGGGGAAGAAGGAGACCGTCAGGGGCGTGTGGCCAGCCCACCCCTCGACCCACACACAGCTCAGCGTACAGTGGGTGACAACCTCCACCTGGCCTGCCCCTCCCCAGCATCGTCACCCTCCCATCACCATCATCAACACGGCCCCTTGGAAGAAGCCAGAGGAAATGAACCTGATGGTGACCACAACCCAAGGCCAACCTCCCCTGCTTCTCCGCTGTGGGGGGCTCTCAGGCTCCCCTCTCCTGGCCCCAGGGGCTTCCTGGGCTGCTGCCCATGGACCATGGCTGCTTATTTTATGCTCTTGATTTCACATTTGTATCTCTTTAATTTCAAAAGTCTTGGTCCCTAACAACATAAATATAGCAGTGCATTTGTATTATCTTATAATACGGGCAGCACAGTCACACAATAACACAGCATTCCTCCACAGAGTTAGACCACTGGGTGAACTTCTTTGACTCTGCTCTGCGGCTCTCTATGTCCTTAGAACACAGACAGTCCCGGGTTGGAAGGGTTGTCATTTTCTGACTGGGACCATACAAAAGCAGCCCTTCAGGCCAGTGTTTCTGCCTTCCAATACAGTATTCAATCAATGGCCTGAGACACTCAACACCTGGTTGTAGAACAGGCTTTGCAGGCGAGGATTCTGCCTGGAGCCAGACGAAGGTAAGGATCTGAGCACGGTCGCCCCGTGCGGAGCTGTGGTGCTGCTGGGTGAGTCGGATGCAGTTTTGACTTCTGTCATTTTCATCTTATGAAAGGGTCAAGGGCATCTCTACCTTCCACTGAGGGCGGATGTCCATACCCTGTACCCCACAGTCATTTGAGGTGTTTATTTTCTTTGTAAGTTTATGTCCTCAACTTGATATAGAGCGAGGTTCTTGGTTTAGGTTGTTTTTAATTGTCAGGGTTTTCTTTTTTCTTATTCTTAAAAATTTTTCAAATACGTCAATCATTCATCGTCTCATGACAACATGTAAGAAGACATACCCAGGGGCGCTGGCTCCTGTCCCCGTGCCCTCACTGTCCTTCCCTTTCCCCGAGTGACCGTTTTCAGTAGTTGTTGGCTGATCCTTGTGGGCTTTCTTCCTGACAGTACAAGCCACGCCTCTCGCCTTCTCTTTCCCACACCCTTCCTTACCCACTGGCTCCTCCACCCCAGGGGCCTGGGCCTCCTCTCCTGTCCCTCCCCACAGCACCACGGAGCTTGCCGTGTGTCTCCCGGAGTTCACTCAGTTGTCCCCAGCACTCGTTCCCAACCTTCAGGTCCCAGCTTTTAGCCGTGAGAGGGGTGGTCTGGGGAAGTCACAGGGCAGAATCCAAGGACCTGCCCACGCTGGAACATGACTGGACCACACCCCCCCCATGGGGAACCCTCTTCACGTCCAGCTCCAGCCTTGCCTCACCTGGACAATGGGGACACTAGGACCTGTTTCTCAGAATGGTTGTGGCCTGACTGAGACAAGGCCCAGGAGAGTGGCTAGCAGACAGCCTGCCTAAGAGAGGGTGATGGTCAAGATGAATACCACTGCCTGCCCCAGCTCTGAATCACACTCTGGTCTTACTGCGACTGACGTGTCGAGGCCAGTCACCTGGCAGGCCTTGGGCCAGCTGACCTGACTGAATTCTCTCCTTAAAACCTCATGGAAATCTTTGGGGCATTACCAGCCCCCATTTTATGGGCATCCTCAGCCCCCATGCAGGAAAAAAAACTGAGGCTCAGAGGGGCACAGAGGGGCCCGGAGGCTCTTCGAGGTCACGTGGCTGGCTCAGTTCTTTGAAGGAGGTTTGCAGTTAGAGCGGGGCCAGGGAGGGGCATGGAAACCTCAGAATAACGGTCTTCACCCCTGTGCAGGGGCCTGCAGAGGTGAGGACTCTGCCATCAGCCCAGTGGCTCACCTCCTGACCTTGGACAGTGCCGACTGGGCAGGGAGCCTGACGGCCCGCTTGAGGCTGAACCCTCAGAAAACCTTGCTGGACACACAGTGGGCAGAGTGGTTGTCATGCCCAGAAATTGGGTGCTGATGAAGACATGGGTCATCCCCCAACCACACCCACCAGCCAGGACCCCTTACCTTATAGACAAATCCCTCCGGACAGCTGTGGTCGTAGGTGAAGGCTTTGTAAACCACCAGGAACACGATGCAGGCGAGGAACGCTAGGGCCAGGCTGACGAGGATGGTGACCTGCAGGAAGACACACCTGCGTCACCCTCAGCTCCGGGTGCCCGCTCCAGCCCACGCACGAACCTTAAACCCGGGGTGGTAGGCAGATGGCCTGCTAGGAGTGCGGGCAGGGATCCAGCACACTGCTCCGCTGGGCTTTGTCACTGACATGCAGCGTGCACTGAGGCCTCCGTGCCTCTTTGTGCAGGATCATCTTGAGGCTCTTTCTGGACCCCACTCTGGACAGACTTTTCCTGTACGCTGGGTAGGGAATGGGGTTTGACCACTAGGCCCCCTTTCCAAAGAGCTTCCTGCCTCTGTTGTGACCACCCCGTCACCACTACTGAACTCCATCTCAGACATCAACCGCTTGCTCTACCTCCTTGTGGACACTAGTCCCCAAACCTTCCCCGAGGCTCTCCTCCCACCTGGTGGCCACCACTGTGCCACCAGGCCAAAGACCTTGGTGCCCTCTGCCTCTCATCCCACACTCTTCTTCCAGGAGAGCCTAGCACCTCTGCCTTCAGATACCTGGTCCAGAGCCGACCACTCCTTACCACTCCCACCACTTCCGCCTGGCCAAGGCCACCCTCACCTCTCACCAGCGGGTGGAAACAGCCTTTAACCCGAGACTTGCTTGCCCTCTCTGGTGTGTCCGACACAGCAACCAGAGAGATCCTGGGCGTCCAAGTCGAGGCACGTCCTCTTCCTGCATGCAGCATCCTTGGACACCTCAGACTAGAAGCCCAGCTCCTGACCACTACCTATAAGCAAGCTTCATGAACCCTGGGGAAACCCGATGGAAGCCCCCCAGGATTTGTCAGAAAGGAGCAAGTGAAAGATTCCCGAGGCAGCTCCGGGTTCACACTGGCCCCGTGGCGACCCCTGTACGAGGCAGACATTAGGGCGTCTAGTGCTGGGAGTGGATTTGTGTGTGTTGTTTTTAACAGCAGACAGCCCTTTGAGTCAGTCAGCCTAGAGATGTTACAGAATTCCTCTCCTGGAGAGAGGCTCCTCTTGATTCAGAAAAAAGACCAAACCATCTTTGGGGATCTTCATCCTATTTCCACCCCAAGGCTTGTTGGTGAGGACGGAGAACACAGGAGGCTAGGACGCTCCGGGCAAGGGGCGCTGCTTGTCGGCAGCTTGAAGTCCTGGATGGGAGACATGTGGGAAGGCGAAGGGGAGGTGGAACAGGGCAGTGAGTCAGGGCAGGGTGGAGAGTCCATGAGCACTCCCCGGGTGTGTGTGTGTGTGTGCATGTGTGTGCGTGTGCGCGTATGTGTGTGCGTGTGTGAAGGTTTCAGACACAGGTGAGTGCCACGAGGTTTTAAACTATTATTGGAGCAGTGTGCTGCCCTCCCCCTCCACTCCCCAGTTCCTCTGCTGAAGCACTGGACAGGAATCAGCCTCCTGCTCAGGACCACGGTGAAGACAGTGTGGAGTGCAGTGATGGGGACATCAGACCCGAGTCCCCAGGCGAGATGTGGAGCCCGCACAGAGACTTCCGTGGAAGCTGAGCCTGGAGCAAGGGCTGCCCCCAGCTCAGTCATGTGCACACAGACTCCCCAAAGATGTCATCTGAATGGCACAGGAAAGGGGGTCGCCCAAGACCACTACCCTACCCACCGATACTGAGGACCAGGAACACTTGGTCAGTAGAAGTTTGTAAAGAAACTAAAAATGCCCAGATTTTCCAATAACCGCAAGGCAGGAACAGTCCTGAGTCCATCAACTGGTGAGTTGATGGTCAGCTAGTGGTCAGTCAGCTCCACACCCACAGAGCCCCCTCCATGGATTTCATAACTGGAAAGTAAATTGCTTCCTTACTTTAACTGGAAGTAAATTTACTTCCTTACTAAAGACATCTGTCTTGTCACCATTCCCTAAAGGACACAACATAACAGCGTTTACCTTGTGCTAGGGAATTATGAAGAGTCTAGAGATTATTTCTTTTAAAGAGAGAGAGAGAGAGAGAGAGAGAGAGAGAGAGAGAGAGAGAGAGAGAAAGAATTTTAATATTTATTTTTTAGTTTTCGGAGGACACAACATCTTTGTTTGTATGTGGTGCTGAGGATGGAACCCGGGCTGCACGCATGCCAGGTGAGTGCGCTACCGCTTGAGCCACATCCCCAGCCCAAGAGATTATTTAAAGTACACAGAAGGGTGTCCATATGTCCTATGCAAATACTACACATTTTAGATAAAGGCGCTGAGCATCTCAGCCTTTGGTCAGTTATAGGGGTTCCTGGGTCCAATGACCATGACTCTTGAGGGATGACTGTATATGTACACAAGGGAACTTTATTCAGTCATAAAAGGGCACGACACATATGTTACAAATGCAGATAGACCACAAAACCACATGCTAAATGAAAGAAATCAGGTGCAGAAGGTCAGATAGTAGATGACCCCATTTGTATGGAATATCCAGAATAGGTGGATCTATAGTCACCAGGGACTGTGGAGGGGGCAGTGGCTGATGGCCACGGGGTTTCCTTTTGGTGGTGATGAAAATGTTTGGGGGCCAGGTAAGGGTGATGTTTGCACAACGTTATGAGAGTTCTAAATGCCACCCAATTGTTCACTGTAAAGTGATTAATTTTGTATTAATAAACTTTGACCTCAATTTTTAAAAATAAATGCTTATGTCCCAGACAGCAGCCTGGCACCCACAGTTCTGCCCCAGAAGTGGGAAGTCATCCTCCTCAATGGTGGCTGGAGAGCCACCTTAAAGGACTTAAAGATGTGGCTAACAGCCCTTTCCCTCACAGAGTGCTGCCTGGGCCCAATCAAGAGGGCTGCTCCCAACAGCAGGACAAGACATAGCCACGTGTGCGCCAGCCTGCAACTCACAGCTCCTGCACGCAGAAAGGAAGTCAGAACCCTGGCACCCCCCCTGCCTCTCCAACGGCCTGACGGGGGTCCAGGGAGTTCCAGAACATCTCCCACCCCAGTGACCATGCACAGAGCCCCAACCTCTCAGCCAACTCGGGAGCAGGGCAAGAGGTCCAAACTCAGACACAGATGGCTCAATTCGGGGCTGGACACTCCCCCGGCCAGCAGCAGGTTGGTGAATGGTCCCACCCCTGACATTCCCTGTGCTAAGAACCCAGGAGGAGTCGTGTCACCAAAGTGTCACCGCAGCTTGAAAGCGTGAGCAGAGAGGCCTTCAGCAAGTGTCGCTGGGACAAGAGAAGGGAAGAGGGAGGCCCTCTTCAGGTACAGTGGCCTCGGCACCCCTTCACATTAGCAGCATCTGAGGGCCCTTTCAATGCTAGTGGACTGGGCTGCCACAGCCTCAAGGATTCTAATTTTCGGGTCAGGGCCATGGCACTACTATGAACTCCCTGGGTGACGGATTAGACTGGGCAACCAGGGAGGCGCCTCTCCTCTGTGTGGTGGTGACCGGCTGCACATGGTTAGCATCGCCTGGGCAGCATTTGAAACACTCCCGATTCTCTGATCCCACCCCAACCAATGACATTGGGACCTCCTATGGGCGTAGTTCAGGCCTCAGGATGTCCTGAAGCCCCAAGATGCTTCCCTAGTGCAGGCAGGTGGCGGAGAGCGCTGTGTGCACATGGGACGGGTGGCCCCTGTGACCGGCACCCTCATGTTTGCTGTGCTGTGCGGGTGCTGGGGCACAGCCACTCTGTTCCTGGGATTCTGCCCAAGCAAGGCCATCTCACATCAGATTGGGTCACTCGTTCCAGAGCACCGGAATTAAGATGCTGTAGCTAAAGAGTGTGCCTCCTGTCCTGAAGTTTGGTAACTTCTGCAGCTTAGGCCGGCCATTCCTGGAGAGACTTGGAAGGCTGGAAAATGGCAATGGATCAGGTGTCACTGTCCCTGAAGACCTCAGAGTCTTCAGGCAAGGGAGAGGTAGACAGATGGACACAGGCACTTGCAACACAAGGGGTGGCATTGTGACCAACACAGGTCCCAAACGCTGAGGCCAGACTCGGGTCATGGAGTAGAGTCAATGGCCCAAGGAGGCTTGTGAGAGAGGAGGAAGGTGGACGTTGGAGCTGGGCCTGAATTCCTGAAATGGAGTCTCCATTGGTTTTCCAAGTGGGGTGAGGAGCCAGAGGCTTCCGGCCAGCTGCAGGTGGATTTCCTGTGGGCTGCTGCACAGGGCAACCTACAGAGCTGGCCGCCTCAGTTGGCCTCGGCCTTTCTGGCAGGTTTGTGGAATTCAGAGCCCCCACGTGCTTGATCCCTGCAGCAAAGCTCCCAATGGGGCGGGTGGGCCTCCAGGGCCTGGGAGAGAAGTCCCCTTCCCAACGAAGCCCCTCTGGACACGAAAGCCTGAAATCCACGTCAATATTTATTGACTCGGTTTATAAAACTCCATCCCTTGGAGACCTTCTAAAGCCTTTAGTTTCACCTCTTGAATTTAACAACCTGGCACTAGCAATAAATAGCTCGTTAGCTTTCCAATGTTGGACGTGACTGGCCCATTAGACGTGATGCTCGCCACATGAAGCCCTCTGCTCACCGTTCTCCTGCTCACTCACCCTCACCCACGCAGTGTGTTAATGACAGGGCCGACGGCAAGCCAGGCACTGGCCCACGGTCCCTGCCCCAGGGAGGTGCACTAGGCAGAGTCGGGCATCGAATGCACAAATACCCAAATGGTGACAAGATCAGAAGGGACCTGGAACAGAGTGTGCAGAGGAGAGGGCATCCTGAGAAGTAGAGCCAGGCAGAGGGGACCCGGGCCCTCCCAAAGACCCCCAGAGGACACGAGCACAGGCTCCCAGAGGACCTGGGAGGGACTGTCTGGTTGTGACCAGAGGATACAAGGAGACGCAGCTGAGGTGCAGCAGGAGGGACAGGGGTCAGCCCTCGGAGACTTTGCAGGCCCAGGCCACCCCCGTTCTGCCTGAGCGCCCGCCACGTCCCCAGTGCTTTCAGCCCAGCCCCGCTCGGCCGGCTACTGCTCGCCCTCCAGCCTCACGCCGGCCACTGCGGGGCTCACCTCCCTCCTCAGTCTCAGCCCACTCCTGAGTGTCTCT